TCGGGTGTTTCTGAAGGAGAATCAGGCATTGCTGTTTGCTGGCTCTGTCTTTATCTTGTGGAGCCAGTAGTTCAGAAATTTGTTTTCACTGTTGGCACTCAAATACTCGTTGTGTTATCGAAAAGAAATAAACACTACTGAAAATGCCAGAATTCAAGAAACTGCCCATGGCTCAAATAGTTGGTTGCTATTTCTTGCAGGGCATAAGAGTTGAAATATTGATGGGCCCAGGGACAGATCTGAAAGAAGGATGTAAAAAATAGAGGTTGGACTTTTCTCCCTGGCACCTGTGCTCTGAAATGCGTGTTTCCCGACTCCTAATCCTTCAGTTAAGTTAGCTAAATTCAGGAGACGCTGCTGCAGGCTCAGACAGGCTGAGCTCCATGCCTCAGGCCTTTCCTATGTTCCAGAATGGAGTTGGAGGTGAGATAGTTCCGTGCTCTCACCATGCACAACAGGCTTATCAGCTGCTTAAGGAATTCAAGACAACGTCCAACATCCAGCATACAATGGAATGGGGTGGCTAACCCTTCATTCTGAAGGTTGGCTCGTGTGCAAAAAGGAAAGTGAACATTGTGGCTCGAGGGAGAGCAAATAACAGAATCATAGAATGGCCTGGGTTGAAAAGGACCACAGTGATCTGGTTTCAAGCCCCTGCTATGTGCAGGGTCTCCAACCACCAGACCAGGCTGCCCAGAATAGGGAAACAGGGTAATAGTTATGGCACTTAGATTAAAGGGCTGGTGGCAGAGTCAGAGTTCTGGCAGTGCTTTCTAAAGCTGTTTTGAAACACTGTCAGTTTGATTGTTATCAGAAATTGCTTTTGGTAATTCCTGTTGTGTTTTGTTTTTTCGTGCTCTCTTTCCACACAGTCTGTGTCGGCTTTTTCTCCTATCTGCAACCCTATGCAGTGCCAGTGGGGCAAGAAAGCCCTTGGTGGATATCTGGGATCAGATGTAAGCAAATGGGAGGTATGTGCTGCAACTTGCAGGCCTTCACTAATGCGTGAATGAGTGATCTGTGCTTACATTGCTGCAGATGTCTGGAACAAAACTCTTGAGTTGCCCAGGAGCTGATGGTGTTGTTTTATATCCATGCTTAAGAGAATGCACAGCACATTGCACAGTTCTGCTGGGTGTGTCTTGCTGTTGCCTGGTGGTGCTTGTGACAAACGAGACAGAAAGCTCTCATCAAACTGACTGAATGTTTTATGAAGGTCTTAGAATACAGGCTAAGAAGAATTACGGGCAGTCTGAGACTTTCTATAATGCATGGAAGTAATGAGAATATTTAACGAGTTTAAGAATTTTAAATGACCCTCTATGGTCTGTCACTCCAAAACAGAGTTTTCAGTGTTCAGACTGTGGTAGCCTGAAAAGAAAGACAGTGCTACAGCGTGGTCAGAGTCTCATGAGCCTCGTGGTATCTGCAGGAGCAGCCTGGCAGAGGCAGTTGCAGAGAAGCCCTTTGGTACTTGGAAATTGATATCCCACAGAACATGATTAAACCAGGAGTTTGGTTTTTAGCTTTAGGTCCCTAATTTAGAAATAAAAACAGTCTTATAAGAATTGCTAGGCTACAAGCACACAAATATATTTGTTGCTGCGTTATTTGGGCGTACATCGTTGTGCTGTCCTGCTGCAGGACCACATGTTGTAAATCAGGTGCCTAGTTCAGAGGATCTGCTGAAAACACTTCTGTAGTTAGCATAAGCCATAGAATGGACCCATACTACCACTCTGGCTTGTTCTGTCATTGAACACACGTTTTTTGTTTTTGTTCCACCACTGTATAGTGACAGGGTAGTGCATGAGGGCCTGATTGCTCTTCCAAGTTGTAGTTTGATGTCTTGATCAGTGTAACACAGCACTCTGCACTTACCATTGTTTTCTCACAGTGAATTCAGTCCATTCTAACACGCATACATGAGCATTGCCTCCCTTTTACTTCTGCAGGCATACGATGCTACACAGCTTGTGAAGTCCTACCCAGACTCTCGCCTGGACATCCTGATTGATCAAGGCAAAGAAGATCAGTTCCTATCAGCAGGCCAGCTACTGCCAGATAACTTCATCGCCGCCTGCACAGAGAGGAAAATCCCAGTAGTCTTCAGACTGCAGCAGGCAAGTTGCTTCTGCAGACCCTGCTGTTGGGTAGATGCTGTGTGAGTTGGGTGTGTGCACAGCAGGTAGTTTGTCACTGGGCGTGCATTTATTGACCTGTCTGCCCCTGGCTGAGGAAAAGGCGTTGCAGTTTCTGCTGCCTTGTACCACTAGGTGGGGTCATAAGCGCACTCTTCTCAAACGGATCTGGTGCTGGTATCGCTGGCTGCGCTTAAACCTGCCAGTGATAAGCTGCAGAGGCAGCATTAATGACTGTACCAAGCACAGTCACTGTAAAAGCAACGCGACAGCTGTGTTTTTGCAGGATTCCTTATTTGTGCTGTGGGTGTTGCGTTCAGCTTTGTGATTTAGCTGCGAGTGTTAGTGTACAACAGGAGAGGTATGGAATTGCTTGAAATATCAAATTCACTTGAAGACCTACAGTGCAGTGACCCAAAACAGCAACGCACTGAGAGCAATGGAGTCTTTGTAAGCATGCCGCCCCACAGCTTGAAGATTGTCCTCTTTGGTTTATCACTAGGGCTTTTGTACAGCCCTGTGCCACAAGGTCTATTTGGTGCTGACAGAAAGGGAACAGTTCAGAGGTTTCTTTATTATTTTAACATAGCAAAAGAGCTATGTTAGCTCTTCAGACTTAAGATGTGAGGTCACAGCCCGTATTTAGCACTAGGACAATACCAGTGAGGGGAACTGTTCTCTCATATTGCATCCTGCTCTGTAGCTGATGCTGCTGTTCACAGAATGCCTCAGGTTGGAGGGGACCTTAAAGCCCACCCAGTCCCAACCCCTGCCCTGGGCAGTGCCACCCAGCAGCTCAGGCTGCCCAGGGCCCCATCCAACCTGACCTTGAGTGCCTCCAGGGATGGAGCACCCACAGCTTCTCTGGGCAAACGTACATTTTCAGCCTCATGAGGCGGTCTCAGTTTTGTTCCCCTAACCCTACCTAGAGGTTCAGGGATGCAGGAGGTGTGGGAAGCCTGTCAGTGACATGTGGGGCAAAGAACGCATTGAATACTTCAGCAGTTTCCATGTCCGTTGTTGCCAGCTGTCCCTTCTCACTTACCAGAGGAGGTAGACTCTCCTGGGCCTTCCTCAGCTGGCCATTATACCTGTAGCAGCCCTTCTTGTTATTTTTCACATCCCTCACCAAATTCACTTTAGTCTGTGCCTGGGCTTTCCTGATCCTATCCTTACGTATCCAGATGGCATCCCTGTGTTTTTCCCAGGCCCACCCATCCTGGCTTTCATTGCCTGTAATTTTCCTTCTTTTCCCTCAGCAGTGCCCATTTCCTTCATCGTCTGCTTGGTTTTCAGGGATGGAAAGCTCCTGCACTCTCAGAAAGGTGTCCCTCAGGAGCTGACAGCTCTGTGCCATTCCTCCATCCCTAAGGACAGTCTCCCATGGAATTCCATCCAGTAATTCCGTAAACAAACAGAATTGCACTCTTCTGAAGTTCAGAGTCCTCGCTCTTATTTTTGCCAGGCCCACGTTCCTTAAGATCACAAACCCAACCCACCTCTAACTTGCACACCCAGATGAGGGCAGGTGAAGGTGCACACAGTTTGCTCATCTTCCTAGAGCTCTTCTATACTTGACTTGTTAGGTGTGCTTTGCAGAATCACAGAATGGCCAGGGTTGGAAGGGACCTCAAGGATCGTGAAGCTCCAACTCCTGTGCCACACGCAGGGCACCAACCTCCACCTTTAATACCAGACCAGGCTGCCCAGGGCCCCATCCAACCTGGCCTTGAACACCTCCAGGGACTGGGCATCCAGAGTCTCTCTGGGCAGCCTGTGCCAGCACCTCACCACTCTCTCTGTAAAGAACTTCCCCCTGACAATTTTACATTTTTCCACCTTTACAGTTTTACATTTATGTCTTTTTGATTTCTTAAAACAGATGAAAACACAAGAGATACTAACTTCTTGACAAGACAGCGTAGCATGATTGCTTTGTCGTGAGCTATACGCATTTGCTGATTTCTTCATTGTTGTTCTTCTAGGGCTATGATCACAGCTATTTTTTCATTGCTACCTTTATCAATGACCACATCAAGCACCATGCAAAGTTCCTTAATGCTTGAACTACAGAAATGGGAGTGCTGTCTGACCAGCGGGAGGCAAAGGATCCAGCTGAACAGTACAGAAATCATGTATTGAAGCAGCATCTGTAGAATACAGCTCTTCTGATTACACTGCTAATAAAATACAAGTCCCACTTAATTTGATGTTCAAAGTATCTTGAATATTCTTGCATGCTTGAAAGTTTAACACCATGTAGGTGAATGTGCATTGTTGGTCAGGAAGAAGATTAGCAGGTGAGTTAATTAGATCTTAATAATACGAACGTAAGTATTTGGGACTCAGGCCTGTTTCTAGCACACCTTAGACAAAGGCAGTGAATAACGGTATGCCTCTTCCACTAACGGAAAACCTGCGTTCATTTCATCAATTAGTGCCACAACCAGTCAAGGTGCTTAATTAAGCTGCAGACTGTGGTTTCCTGTTCTGTACGCTAACAAACACCACAAGGGCTGATGCTCTAAGAAAGGAAGCAGTCTGTGCTGAAGGAGGTGGTTTGTCTTCCACTCCTTTCTTAGTAAGAAAAAGGCTTACAGTGTGTTTATAGGTTTCTTAGGTTTAATAGGACTATTCCTATTCTGGAACAGGATCCTATTCCTAGTTGAGCTCTACAGTGCCTTTATTTGGCTCACGCAGTCACCTCCTCCATCACCCACACTGTTCAGCTCTCAGCATCATCTCTTTTACAACAAACTGCCAGCCAGGGGGTAGCCAGTAAGTGGTTTCTACAAATGATAGAGTTTAATTGTAACTACAGTAAGGATTTTCTATATACATTATGTTCACTGCTTAGGGTATGATAGATCCACCATGCATGTTTTATTGCACGTACAAATAGTGTACAAAGACTCATGAAGATCCTCTTTTTAGCCATACAGGTTAAGACTGCATAGAAAAGCCGTATGACAAAATACGTAGAGCTATTTACAGCCAACTTTGAGCAAATACTGAAAGACACTGTCAGGAGGAAAAACAAAATTTTAATTATGAAAAACCAAGATTTGTCAAAATAATAATTACAAAGCTTCATGGTGCCATATATACATTGTAAAAAAATACTCAGGAAACCTGCATTTTATCCCTCGAGATGCAGAAATCAATATTCCTATTTTATAATCAATCTTTGAATGCTTTTTAAAATGTGATAAACTCTACCTCGAAAACGTATTTCTCTTTACATTGCTCGTGCTTTTTGACAAAACAGATATTTGTGCAGCTCTGTAAAATATTAAAATACATTTTAATTTAGCGGTAAAGTGCACAGTACATTTGATAGGAAACAACATGCTATAGCTGCCAATCCAAATTGCCATTTTAAGTCGCCGTTCCCTCTATAAAATAAATGCTTCTGCTTTGGTTGAAGTAACTGCTATCCTGGGCATACTGTGTGTCTGCAGGCCCACTCTGACAAGCTGCTCTCAGTACAGACGTTGGCAGTCCGTGGCGTTACAGGGCACAGCCTGCATTCAAATACTGCGCAATAGACTGAAAGTCTGCGATTGGAGCACAGCTGTTTTGAACTGCAGCACCTGTGCAAACACGCAGGTAACTCAGCCTAGATGTGCAGCAGCGACAAGTATGCGTCGTGCCTTCAGAAAGTCCTTGCACAACAGTTTTCTCCACAGCTTTCTTCCTGTTTGTTCTCCCACCGCATCGCCTCATTCCCATCATGGTGCCTATTTCCAACCACAGCCCCCGTGCAGCACGGAGCTGGCGGCTCAGCTCAACTTCCCCCACACGCAGCTCTCCCACCCTGCCCACCCAACTCACACCTGCAGCCTCCATCCAAGCTACAGAAAGTGGAAGTTCCAGACACTGTGATAATGGCTGCGCTGGGACTCGTGGATCTAAAGATGATGTTTTCATAATAAATGATGCTCCTGAAAAGTCTTTTCAAAAGACGTAAAGTAGTAATAAGAAAGAGAAGCTTCTATCCTATTGCTGACATGAATGCTTGTAGGATCGGACCTCCAGTCCCACTACAGAACGCTGTGCTCGATTCAGGGGGAACCCAATGACTTCAGTGAACGGGGAGAAGCACTGCAGCCAGCAGCTGGAAGGTCAGATGTAAGACTGCCCTCGGCAGTATTAACGATTTTATCACCTCTTGAAGGAATTAATGAGGAAAAACATTTTGGCTACCTGTTAGCGTTCTTGTGCTCTGCTCTATTCGTTCCGTAGTGCCGTAGTCTTTAAAAGAAAATCAAGTTACAGTGCAAAAATCCTATTTCAAGACACACGATCCTAATGCACATCATTCATTTTGTTGTGGCAAAAGTTAAATGTCTTGTGCATAGTAAAATAAGCAATCAAAAATATTCACATTTATTTTTTCAAGTTTACGTCTTTCCTATTTTAAACATCTATATACAAGTCATGGGTGTGCTCTGCTTCAGCCAATTGAATCAAGTGTGTGTGTGTGTGTGTGTGTGTGTGGGTTGGGGGGAAAAGTGCTGCTGGAATGTAGGAAAGAAACGGAATGCAGACAAACTTTCATCGATGTTCCACACATTGAAAATTAAAGAATGCCATTCCAGCGAGCTGTTCTTCGAACTGAAGCACCTACTTGGTTTGCTTTTGCTCTTAGGAGTTAGAAAATACAATGTATGGAGATCTAGAGCTACCGCACCCCTAGTAGAATAAAAAATAACTAAACATTTATATTAAAATAAAGTGTTTAACCACAAAAAAAGCAGTAATAAAATACAGTTTCCTAATTTACATTTTGCATCCAAAGGATGAATAACAACTCACTAATAAATAACATTTATATAAATATTTTTGTGTCTGGATATTTTTAAAAGGCAATAGCCCGAAGCAACTGCAGAAAAACCTGATGTGGCACAAGTCTGACTTACTCTCCCTCCCTCCAAAAATGATTATGAGGATTCTTAGTTTAATAATACGAAGGTATCTTGCTGCAAGACAGCTGTGTACTCCACACATTTTTACGTGGCAGAGGTGGCTGTTTCAGTAAGTACTGTACAAAGCGAGCTAGAAAAGCAGTGAGGCCCCAATGTGCTCTATAAAATGTTTTCTTTTAGTCTCTGGTTTGTAGTTGGATGCACGTGTACGGTCTCAAAGATGATTTTAAAATCAGAAGTATCAGAATACTCTTGGAGCACTGTTTTTTTTCAATGCAGTCTGTAAAGACGGGCAGTGATTTGATTCTTTGATGGCACAGTGGAGCTGGTAACAGCAGAGAGAGTAGTTTCACGTGAATAAAGCTTGTTTCACTGTGGTTACATCTAGCAATGCTTGAACTGTTATGCTCACTTTTACCAAGCCCTTTTCTTCTAGGATGTGATGTGGTAGGCAGAGCTTCTCCTAGAAAAAGACAAACAAAGGATAAAGATCAGGTTACTCAGCACTCATTGCAAACCCTCGCTTCACACCAACACCCAACAAGCAGGAACCTTTTTCTGTCTGCAGTTCAAAAGAACTTTCCCAGGTTTTGATAAAGTCTCTCAATTTGGCTCTTATTAGATCTATAAACTAGCGTGAAATCTGTTCGTGGTCTGGGCCTACCAGGAAAGCAGCATGTTTGGTGGTCATTACAGTACGTCAGCATCTTAACTGAGAGTGAAGGCTGCCAGGTACACGCTGAGCTTTTGCCTATGAAGTGAGATAATGAAGCATCTGGCCATTATTTGGGGATGGAAGGCTGGATTTTATCAGTCCAAAAAAGTTTTGCTGTTGAGCTCTAGGAGGGTGGGTCTTGGTCCCAGGACGTGCACCTTGAAGTCATCCATTAGCATTTACAGCAAAGGGCGTGTAATGGTGTGCGTGCGACAGATGGAGCATTTTGTTCCGAGTAATCAGATGTTTATTTTGAAATGCCCAGGAAACAACTTCATTTACCATCAGGACACAGCAGTTGTGACCAGGATAAAACCTACTAGCTGTCCACACAGGCTATTCTATCAGCAGGCAGCCAAATAATAAATACTTTATCTCCTACACGTAAAAGGAAATCCCACAGTGAATAACTGCAGAAAGGCTTGCGTGGAGAGGCAGCTTTGTCATGACTGGCTCCATCGTAAAGTTTCTAACGTAACTGGGTGTTCATGTTAATGAAATATACGAGACTGTGAAATCAGGCACCAGGTTCGTAATAAATGACTACACCACAAACCATAACTACAACTGTGAGACTCACTGTCACAACATGGAAGCCAAAAGTGTAAATGGGATGACAAAAACACAGAGAAAAATAAAATAGTATTAAACACAAACATGTGGATACAGCATCTGCCTCATGAAGCCCCTCCCTGAGCCACGTTAGGCCACTTTAATTTTGAAAAACCAACACGTATGCGATCTACTCTGTTCTTTCTCTAGCATCAACACATGACCATCAGCAGAGTCGTATACTGAATTTTTGTTTTTACAAATGTAGGGTTATTTTGATATTCTCAGTACCTAATCTTTCAGCTGTTAATAAACTTCTAGTTCCTAAAATTACGGATCCATCTGAGATCACGTTGTGATTGCTTGCCTGTCTTCTACTGAGTATTCTCACTTCTGGTGACATGAAAGATGTCAGCTAGAGTCTCTTATTTTATCTCCATATAATCCATGATCATCTGTTCCATTTCCTTACATGCACACTCTACAGATATCACCAATGTAGACGTCGCTCATCTCTTCAACATCTCTTCTCATGATCTCCTTCATGCACAACCAACACTTGGCTTTCTTAACCTTTTGTCAGTTTCACTGCAACCCATTCAACAGAGAATCTGAAAATATTACCAACTCACTTTTCTCTTCCATTCCAAGACACAACACGGTAACTATGACGACGTGTGAGGCACCCAACTGATGACCATTCTGAGGTGAGGAACACTGATCACCCTCTACCACAATATCAGCCCAACTCCATTTCACAGCAGTTCTTCATCTCATACTGAACTGAAACCACTTTGCCCTGGACTGTGACCATAACAAAATCTCAAAGGGAGATCCATCAACAAAGATTTTTCTTCCTCTACGAGGAAAATTTTCACAGTAATTGCTAATAAAACCTTCATCAAGAAGAGGGTTTCATTTAAGCCCTATCCAAACTGCATCCATGTTTAGGTTAAGACAGATCTGTTCCAACTCCTGGATGTTGGACAGCTTAAGACAGACAGCCTACTTAATAGACAAAACTGCAAAATTTATTAACTACAGTACCTGAAAAGAAAGAGTCATTTTTTTCCCCACAACTATGGCATCTGCTACTAATAACTAATTTATTTGTATTTTATGCTCATTTTTAAAATGTTTTCTGTATGTTCCAGGTTTTGGGGTTTTTTTTTAATGTTCAAAATCCATCTTTTTTGGTTGCTGGGTTTTTCTTCTTTTTTTTTTTTTTTTTTTTTTTTCTCCCTTAAAAAAGTTCATGGGTTAAGGTTCATTGTATCTTGGGGCACATCAAAAGAAGCGTGGCAAGCAGGCTGAAGGGTTGGCCCCTTCTCTCATGAGGATCTGCCTGCAGTACTACAATAAGCTCCAGGGCCCTCAACATAAGAAGGACATGGAGCTGTTGGAGCAGGTCCAGAGGAGGCCCACAAAGATAATGAGAGGGTTGGAGCACCTCTCCTATGCAGATAGGGTAAGGAAGTTGGGCTTGCTCAGCTTGGGGAAGAGAAGGCTCTGGGGAGACCTCATAGTGGCCTTCCAGTAGCTAATGGGGGTGTACAGGAAAGATGAGGAACAACTTTTTATAAGGGTATGTAGAGATGGAACAAGGAGTAGTGGCTTTAAAACTGAAGGTGGGTAGATTTAGATTGGATATAAGGAAGAATTTTTTTATGATAAGGGCAGCAAGGCAGTGGCACAGCTGCCCAGAGAAGCTGTGTGTGCTCCATCCTTGGAGGTGCTCAAGGCCAAGTTCGATGGGGCCCTGGGCAGCTTCAGCTGCTGGGTGGCATTGCCCATGGCAGGGTGTTGGGACCAGATGGTCTTTAAGGCTTCTTCTACCAAAATCACTTTGTGATTCTACGATGATAGCCTAAAATAGCAAGCAAATACTTTCTGCACATACAGACCAAAAAAACAATGTCAGAGAGGTTAATTTTATAAGAGTTTGACTAAGTAGGCCTGCAACAGACAGACAAAATTCATTTATCTACATGGAAGATGCAGCACTGTTCTGGGGCTAAACTTCCTAAATGTGCTGGGTTAACACATACATTGATTAGGTTGAGCTTTTGGATTTGGACTTAAATTACCAACCTTCTGTTACCATGCTCCTCTTTGATGGAGCTATTTGTCCTGTCAGCACAAAGGAATGCTCCTGTCATGCACTCATTTGTCTCATTAATCACTCAGATTCCAAACTTTCACTAAATTGATCACTTAAATCAAGAAACTGATTCTGCAGTTCATTTATGCTCACTCTTCTGTGACTGAGATACTGCAAGCTTGCAAACTCTCAGAGAAGGTTCTTGCCTTCTATTCCTCTGGAAGAAGGTATTTTGTCTGGAGAACTACATAAAGACATTTTAAGACAATATTTTCAGTATGCAAACTCCTAAACTGAAACCTAGCTGGAGTAACTACAGAAGAAGGTAGAAATAATGGTATCAAATAAAAGGTAAAATAGATTTCTACTTCAACTGTATAAATTTACTAAAAATATTTTGCCAATCTAATGTCTCAGGGTAAAGTTCTAAGAAAAGCCTAAGATACTCTGGCTCTGATAATTTTCAAAAAATATTTATCATTTATTGAGAATACAAATGACATGTGGAATAAAAAGTTATTCTGTCTACTTCTAGACTTCTTTCTGGTGTGCCTGAGCACACCAGAGTCGTATTTCACAGATTTGGTGGCACGCAGCATGCCAGTATTTCATTAGCTTTCCTCTCTAGATAAAAGGCATTAATATTTAATATCTGCTGAATCAAGCAACAGTTTAGCATTGCAAGGCTGAAGGACAGGGATTTAATCCAAAAACTCAGGACTAATACAACTTACCTTGCTAGTTATTTATGTTTGAGAATATTCTACATTTTTCTACTGAAGTCAATTTTGCTGTAAAGAACAGAATTAAGGACGTTTCCTTCAGAAAGAAAGAAATTCTAAATTTGCCATTTTTTGATACCTTACAGCATCCTAAGAGCTATTCTTTCATCTGTCATTCTTTCGCATCAGGAACAGACTTCTTTTTTTTGTAATCAATTATATACGTATTTTAACTAAAAGCATGAAAGGAGTTCATGCCTCACTTCATATTAAAAACGACCACAAAAACCCCACAACCAAATCCAACACAGGTGTTCCTTCTTTAACAGAGATTGCATTAACCGTGTCTTTTAAATACACTGTAGTAATCCAGTTTGCATAAACACAACCTACCTCCCTCTGCCGTATTTACAAGACGTACACTCAAGGGAAACTACTCATAAAGGTCTACAAACAACTAGAACTGCACGACTATGCAGTACGAGTCAGAATATTCAGGACATGTTACTTCTTACATGATCCATCATTCTGCATTAGTTCTTGAAAGATGTACAAATGACAGCCTTTCCTTTTCTAGGAAGAAGATGAAGTTCAATTTATACTGTATAATTCTGCAGCTATTTAAGCATGTTGCTATGATGAGCTTTCCAAACCTCGCAGTGAAAACCTGTACCATCCACTTCTGAAGAACTACATCTTAGCGTGTCATTAATTAGTTTGCTTGTCTAAGCACTAACCACTATCTTCAAAACTTTGCAAACAGCTTTCACCAACTCTGCCTCGCTTATCATTTAAATCATCAGCTTATTATATTTAACTTTTCTCACAGAAGAATCAGATCTTACCAAGGATGAAATTCAGGTAATGAATTCAACTTTCTGCATAACAACGACACTGGGTCAAGATCCCAGTTGTCTGAGACCCTGTATTCAACCACTGTCCCTGTGATGTGGGATGATTCCCATGCTTTCTTCTCTCTTACCCTCCACAGTGATACCTTCAACCACTGGAAGCCACTGATGACAGAACTCTCAAATCTTGTCATTCTGAGAAAATAAACCAGCAAAACCAACCCATGTCTCCAAGGATTTCACATGACTCATCTTCACTCATCTCCCACTACCTTTGAAAAGATTTCAGCCTATTTTACAGTAGCACTGAACACATAATTTCAATACAGAAAATGAATCAACTTTCCTAAAAATACCCTCGTTGAAACCATTCCTGAACAAAGCCAGAAGGAAAAGAATTTGCTACTAATCCTCAGTTTAGAAATGCTTAGAAATGATCACAGAGGGAAAGGCTCACAGCCAATCCACTCTCTTCTGTCTAGTATAAAATGTAGACCCAAATTTTTGGTACAAATTTTCTCA